AAAGCCTTCAATTTTCCAATTTTCCATGAAAATACAATGAAAAGCGAATTTGGCATTTGCTGCATATTTTTAGACACATGGATGAAAATCAAGAAGAGGAAGAGAAAGAGCAAGAGAAAGAGGAAGGAGAAGATGTTGAAGAAAACGCAAATTTTGACATGCAAAATGCGAAGAGCGCAGACAAAGAAGAAGCAGGCACAACAAACACACACACACACGCACAACGATTATGAAACGGCAGAGAAATAAAAACAAATTGAAGTAAAGAAAAGCAAAAGATTTGCCACGCTGGGAAAAAGGCAGCCAACTAACAGTTAAGCGGGGCGGGACGGAGCGGAGCAGAGCGGGGCGTGGCGGGGCAGCTAAAGAAAAACCGGCTTCGCAGCCAAAGCCAAAGCCAAAGACGAACCACTTGCTGCCAGGCGCTGGCTTTTGCCTGTCTCTTCCTCTTCGACAGCTGCTTCTTCTTCTTGTTTTTGTTTTTCTAGAAAAACAAGCGAAGTCATGAAGGGGGAGGGGGGGGGGGGGGGGCAGGCGAAGACAGCCAAACAGTAGCTGCAAAAATATTATTATAAACATGTTGCGCTCGAATGAGTTGCAAAGCAATTAATAAACCGGTTCGGAACCGAACCATAAACCAATAAAAAACAACAAGAACAACAACAAAAGAGCACAAAAATGCATTCTCAGCAATTCGTCAAGCAGCTAAAAACCAGGTAAGACTCAAGTAGTTACAACCAGGTAAGACTCAAGTAGTTAAAACCTTTCCATATTCCCCAAAAATATAAGTATAACTGCCTGCTCGCCTATTTCTTACCCAGGTAATTCCATAATATTGCAGCTAACCCAAGGTAACTCGGTTGTTCGGCGAGCAATGCGACTGGAAGTTGGTTCAGTTATATAAATGAAATTATATAAATCAAATAAATAAAGCTTACGCAGATCCTTACACACTAAATACATAGATATATAGATAGATATATATATAGATAGATAGAAAGATGTCAACATAGAAAGACATTTCGATAGATAAATAGATAGATAGATTGACTGACAGATAGGCAGATGGATAGATAGATAGATAGATAGATAGATAGATATATAGATAGATAGATAGATAGATAGATAGATATATATCAATAGGTCGATAGATAGATAGATAGATAGATATATCGATAGGTCGATATCTATCGATATCTATCTAGATATATTGAGCGATAGATAGCTGGATGGACATACAGCTAAAAGGATTGCAAGAAGATACACAGATAGATAGATAGATGTCTGGCTAGAATATAGAACTCTTCCCCCAAGGTACAGTGATCGCTCGTAAGTTGAAACTTTCAGAAATGCGAAAAACATTTACTTTCAATGAATCAAGTCATTTCGAATCTAAAATTTGTATTCATTATTGACTATCGTATCTTGTAAAGCAACATCCAATTGACCTTGCGCAGATAAATTTTAAATATGCAAATTGAAAATTCAGCTGCAACTGAAAATTTTCCAATTTCTTTTTCTAAAAATTGTGTCGCTTTGACAGCTTAAAAAAAGTTTTTGACTTGTAGATTATACAATATCTTATTTTATTTTATATTGTGTGTTTTTTTTAAGTATTTCAGACTTGCTTAGTACATGGGATTAGTTAATTTGTGGCTAAGCATGCTTGGCATGTTCCACAATTTAAACGAATTACATAATTTTCGAAAGTATTTCAAAAGTCTTGTCCAATATTCTAGGAAGGTATAATATTTTTTATATATTTATGATTTGGGTAAAGATTTTTTTTTGTATATTTAACGCATCTGTTCCCAAACGTTTTTTAATCCAAAAAGCGAAGAGTAATCTTCCAGAAACTTGCAGATTCTTTAGTTCATAATAGACTAAGGTACTTTCTGAGTAGCAGGTAGATATTTGTATCTGTATCTATAAAAGACTAAGATACTTTGCCAGTAACTATAATATATCTGAGATACATAGCGGATAATCTGCAGATACTTTCACCCATAGTATGAGGTACTTTCTGGATCATTTGAATCTAAAAACATGGAAAGAAACTTTACGAACAACTGCCAGTTACATGTATCTAAATTATGCTGAAGACTGAAAAGTCTACTTATATATACTTTTTATCTAAAACAGATTGAGATAATTTCTGGCTCAAAATGTAGATATTTGTGAGTCAATTAAATGTGAGATACTTTATGTATAAGTGGAAGATACTTTATCTAAAACAGACTGAGCTACTTTTGGGGGCTAGCTTGCAGATACTTTTACAAAGATGCTGGTTGGCCAACTTGCAGATACTTTTGTTCATATGGTAGCTTAGCTACAGCTATCTGGAAATGTATCTACAACAGAGAGATACTGAGATACTTTGTAGCCAATTTTCTGGCCAATTTGCAGATACTTGTAAAGTTGATGGACATGAAGTATTTTGTGGCCAAACTGCAGCAACTTCTACCCTAATAAGACTGAGATACTTTCTGGCAATCTAGCAGTTATTTGTATCTGCAGAAACTTTGAGATACTTGTATCTGTAATGGATATATGTTACGTTGTAGCTGCTTGAGATACTTTTGCAGCCAACGTGCAGTTACTTAAAGCAATAATAGAAAAATATGCCAACTTGCAGATACGCGCATCTAAGTATTATAGACTGAGATACATTCAGACTATGCTGAGCATTGTATGAGACTTGGGTTACTCTGCATATATAAAGCATGGATGGTATTTGGTGCACAAGTTGAAAGAATGAACCAAAAACTAAATAAATAAAAAATAAATAGAATAAAGAAGAAAAAGAAAAAAAAAAGCGCACGCACAGTGCATTGCACAGTCCATTTGTAGCTGTATCTATGTATCTCTAGCTGTAGCCGTGTGTATCTTTAGCTCTATCGCTAACTGTATCTGTATCTTTAGCTGTATCTGTATCTGTATCTGGCCACTGGGCGCTCCAATGCGAGACAGCGTTCCGTCCGTATAAATAGTGCCATCGTTGCGCTATTTTTGTCGAAATATTCCGTACGCTTGCGCTCTCATTCATGCAGCTTCCCCCCCCCTATACCACACTTCGCACTCCCCTTTGCATGCCCAGCAGCCAGCCCCCCTTTGGCGTCACCTGCCTTTGCTTTGAAATGTATTTATTTATTTTTATTTGGTTTGTCTTGTTTTATACTATTCTATTTTTTTTGTTTTTTGTCATTTTGTCAGGCTGGGCAAATGCTTGGCTTTTGGCTTTTGCTAGCCGAATTTGTATCTGTATCTTTAGCTGCCGCCGCTTGTATCTGTGACATGCTTGCGTTTGCATGCATATACATACATATATATATATATATATGTATAGATGTGTGTGTGTGTGTGTGCATATATTTATATAGTCAACGCTTGTCGTTCACATTCGCTTTTCAGGTGCATTTTGAGGTGTCGTGACAGCAAATTCTTGCCTCAAATTATGCGCACTAAAAATAATTGAAACTATCAAAAAAACCAAAAAAAAAAAAAAAAAAAGGATTGAAGAAAATTTTGTTCAACAGCTGCCAATTCCAATGAATCTCTCTAGCCATAGACACGCCTCCCCTGTTCCCTGCCCGCCCGCCCTTGCCCCGCACACTTACGCGCTGCCTCTGCTGCTGTTGCTGCCTCTGCTGCTGCTGCTGCTGCCGCTGCTTCTTCTTCTTCTGTTAGCCGCTTTGACCAAAGTTGGTTAAACACTCGCGCTTCGACTGCAACCGTTCACCGCATTACAACAACAACAACAATAATAATAATAATAGTCGTAATAAAAACAACAACGTTTGTGAAAAAAAAAAACTCAACTGCACATAACAACAAGAAGTCGAAGTAGAAGAAGAAGCTTCATAAATAACAACAACAAAAAACTTGTCTTTTGTTGCCTTCTTTGGTTGTTGTTGTTGTTTTTTTTTTTGCTGCTGCTGTTGCTTCTTTTTTCTTGACTATTTTACTTTTTACTATTGATATTCTTTTATTTTGTATATTTTTTTTGCACTTTGCCGTCTAAAGATGAGAATTTTTCTCTAGCCTCTCCTCACGCCTCGTCTCGTCTTGTCTCGTCTTGTCTCGTCTCGTCTTTTTTTCTGATCGGGAACACAAGTCGCACAAGTGATCGATGCCGCCTCTGAGTGTGTACTGAAATGGCCAGCAGACGATGACGATGACGGCGACGACGACGACAACGACGGCAGCGACGCTGGCAGCGGCGATGGCAATGGCCAAAGCGACGGCTCATTCCCGTTCCTGGCCAGAAGCGCGCATCACATCACGCACACGGCACTAAAAGAGAGCAGCAGCACACACACACATATACGAAACAGTGTGAGTGGCTGAAGGAGAGAGAGAGAGAGAGAGAGAGAGTACGCCTGTCGTCGTAGCGGCAGCGGCAGAGAGCCAAGCAGAGCGCAAAAGCTAACGGCGAAAGCGGAGAGGAGCGAGAGAGCGAGAGCGAGAGCGCGCATAGACAATGGCTGATCGCACACGTGGGCCGTGGGCTGTGGGACTGCACATTCGGTGGTTCTTTTTTCTTCTTCATTCTTTTTGTGGCTGTCCATCAAAAAGGGCTCAACTTAGCTTTTAGTATACCCTGCAGTTAATTAAGGTCAGCAGTTGGGTAGTTGCAATGATAAGAGGCAGCTGAGGCAGCATGCAAGCCTATTTTTTCTAGTATGAATTTCAATTAAATATTTCAGTTTTTACATCTAAATACTTTGACAGTAGCTAAAAATATATTTAAATACTAGCAAATTGTGAAATGTTGAAAATGATTTTTTTTTGTTTTTTTGTTCAAAACCAGTTTTTAGGCTGACGTCAAATATGTAAATAGCATTTGACAACATTAAGTCAAACAAGATTTTTGGGGCAGACGGCGATTTAATGCACTTGGCATATTAATTAAATCTAAGCCAAAATTTAGAAAGTTTCTTTTTCGTAAGAAAGCGACGAACGTTCGTGTTTGATATATTTGACAGATTTAAGAAGCTTTACTAGTTCGCTATTGCTGTGATTTTGCACACGTATTGGAAGCCCGCGGAAAAAAGCTACAGGATTACAATATAAGTATATAGATGCTATAGGAAGTATCGGTCGAAAATAGTCTCAGCCTCGAAATACTTTGAAAGTGTACTTGATTCTCGGCGTGTCAAAGAGAGCTTGTATTATTATATAAAAATAATAAATTGTGAATATATTTTCAAAATCTCATAAAATGTAAATAAAGGGTATTTTTGAGTCGTGCCTAGAGCTTGATCAGATTATTAAGATATTGGGGCTATTTTTTTCTAATTTTATAAAAGTTATATACAGGGCATTTACTAGTCGTGACTAGAGTATGCTCAGTTTGCCATCTCAACATTATTTTTAAATTTTGACGAGTATTTGATGAATTTCATTGAGTGTTCATACAGGATGATTTATAGTCGTGACTAGTTTGTCGTCTCAAAATTTGATTACAGGGTATTAAATAGTCGTGACTTAGTTAACCCTCCTAAAAGTAGATAATTCCGAGTATTTGCGGTGTTTCATAAAATGTATGTACAGGGTATTTTCTAGTCGTGTCTAGACCGTGCTTAGCTTGCATTTATTGAGAGGGAGGGGCGGCTGCTCACACTTACCGCTTGGCTGCCGTTGTTGCTGTTGTTGTTGATGTTCCCGTTGTTGTTGTTGTTGTTGTTGTTGCCCCTGGGCAGCTGTTGCTGCTGCTTCTCCTGCCGCTGACCCGCCGGCAACATGCTCTCGACACCCTGCATAATTACGCTGGCGCCGAGGAATTTATTGAGCAGAGCACGTGCCTCGCGATCCTCCGTGCTGTCGCCGGGTTCCATAACTGCAGGGAGGGGTTGGTTGGGGGGTTAGAGAAGAATTAGGTTAGCTGCTGCTGGAGCTGAAGCTAAAGCTGGGCGGGCACACTCACCGTTGTCGGCATTGCGCATGCGCTCGAGCACATCGTCGACGCCGCCGACGAGTCGATCCTCGCCGCTGGTGTTGAGGAAGGATCGGGTGCTGGAGCTGGTGCGCGTGGTGCTGCTGCTGGACTTCTGGCGCATCTGTGGCGGCTCCATTTCGATGACGCTGCAGACATCGTTGGACTCGCTGTCCTCGGTCTCCACCTCGTCGGCGGCGGACTCCTTCTGTATGAAACGTTCGCTCAGCTCCTTGACGGAGCCGTGACGCGTGCCCGTCTCAATGGCCGCCGCCAATGGCAGTTCATCGGCATCGATGAGCTTCAGTTCGCGCTGCAGCTTAATCTGGCCATCTTCCGGCTGGCTGGCGCGCTCCAGCTGCTGCTGCAGCGTGGCCAGCTCCGTGGGATTGCTGGAGTAGATGAGCTCCTTGCGCTCGTGACGCGGCGGCGACTTGTCATCCGAATAGAACTGCTCCTCGATGACATAGCCTGTGACTTCTGTCGAATAAAATCGCATGATTAGCCGGCATTTGACGCTCTATCTTGGACCTGGGACTCACCTTGCTTTGTCTCACATGGCGCCGTCGGCTGTGTCTTCTTCTTGAGCGCCCTGATGCCAAAGAGGGGCAGCCCATTCTCATCGGTGGGTCCAACGCCATAGCTGGACGTAATGGAATCCTCTTCGCGTCGCTTGCTGCTGCTGTTGTTGGTGGTGGAGGAGGTGGTAGTGCTGGTGGAGGAGGAGGTGGTGTTGCTGCTGCGCATCAATTTGCTGCTGCTGCTGACGCTGCTGGAGTTGGAGCCCTTTCTGGGCGTCGGCGAGGATGAGCCGGAGGCACGCAGCACCTTGCTGCGATCCGCCCAAATGGGACTGGGCTTCTCGTTGGCCTTGCCCTTGCTGGTGGTGCGCGTGGTTGTTGTCGTTGTGCTTGTGGTGTTCGTGTTGGCCTTGCCCGTTGGACTGCGACGTCGCGTCTGGGCGGGACTGGCGCTGCGCTCGCGTGGCTTCACTGGCGGCTTGCCATGTGCCGTGGCGCTGTCCGGCTGCTCCGTGCGGCGACTGCTGCTCCTTGGCTCCGGGCTGTGGTTGCGCTCGGGCGTGCGTCGTGCCTGCAAAGGACTGCGACTGGGCGTGGAGCTGGCGCTGCGCGGCTGCAGCTGCTCCGGCTGCCTGTGACTGGGGCTGACCTTGCTGGTTATAGTTGTTGTGGTGCTGGTCGTGCTGCTCGCATTGATCATGTTCTTCTTGATCAAACGTATCTGGGCGCGTATGCGGCGGCGCAGCTCGTAGCTGCTCACCGTCTCCAGCAGCTGCTCGAGCGTCTGCAGATCAAAGATTTCCTCAATCTCGATGTCCTCGCTGCTGCTGGTGGTGCGCGCCGGCTCGAGCCGTGAGCCTCGCCTGGGCACATCAAACTTGACCGCCGCATTCGGATTGCGCGGCTCAAGTCCGGTGTCATCCTCCACGGAGGATTTGCGCGAATAGTGCGTCTTGTTGATCTCCAGCGAGTCGCGACGGATGTGCTCCAGGGAGCTCTTCGTGTGATCCATGTACGAGGGCCGGCGTCCGTTGGGCTCGCCGGTGGGGCTGGGACTGGACTGCTGCTCGAAGATGTTGCGCCGCGAGGCAACGGTGCGGCCGGGTGACGTTTGGGCGGTTGGCCGGCTGCGCTCTAAAAGTGGTTCAACGTGTGGTTCAGTGTCAGGGGAGCTGGCAAGGATGTGGTTAGTTGGACTATGGGTTCGGGTTGTTGTTGTTGTTGTATGCTTTGTGGTGCTGTGCTCAGTGCTCGCTTTAACTACGGTGGATTTCGAATTGGTGGTAGAGTTCGTGGTGCTGTTGGTGGTGTCTGGCTTTTGGTTGGCGGTGCGTCGTTGTGGCGACACGGGCTGCGGACTGGCGCTGTGGCTGTGACTCTGGTTGGGCGCATCCACATCGCTGGGCAGCCACTGCTCTCCACGCTTGGTGGTGCTGGTGGTGCGTCGCTTTTCGGTCTCTGTTTCTTTCAGATAATCGCCGCTGGGCTTGCCGCGTGGCGACTCCAGCGAGGGCTTGCGTGGCGCAGTGGTGCTGCTGCGAGAGGTTGGTTTCGTGGTGGTGCGTCTGCCCGGTGATGTTGGCTGTGAGCCAACAGGCTCAAACTCCTCGACATCCACATCAATATCGCTGTGCAACCACTGCTCACCTCGCTTGGTGGTGCTGGTGGTGCGACGTGTCTCGGTCTCCGTTTGCTTAACATAGTCGCTGGGCTTGCCGCGTGGCGACTCTAGGGAGGGCTTGCGTGGTGCAGTGGTGCTACTGCGTGTGGTGGTTGGCTGGTTGGTGGTGCGACTGCCGGGCGTCGTTGGCTGCGGACTGGCGCTGTGGGGGGCGGGCGCGGGTCCCACCTCTTCGACGTCTACATCCACATCGCTGAGCACCCACTGCTGCTGCGTTATGTGCTCCCTGCGCTTGGTGGTGCTGGTGGTGCTGCGCTCCGCATCGATTGGCTTGCCGCGTGGTTGCTCCAACGAAGGTTTGCGTGGCGCCGTGCTGCTGCGTGTAGGTGAACGCGCGCTGGGGCTCTGCTGGTGGCGATAGGATTTACGCTCCTCCGTTATAAGCACGGTGCTCGGACTGGAACTGGGACTGCCGCGTGGTTTGCCGCTCCCGGGTGTCTGCTTGGGCGTGGCTGGCTTGCGCTGAGTGAAGACCGAGGGACGATTGAGTATGTCCTTTTGACGCTTGAGCTCGATGGCTGTGGTGTGATGCTTGGTCATGGGCAACAGCTCATCATCGTTCGACTCCAGCGGCTCCTCGGGCTCCAGGTCTGAGGGCTGCTCCGGCTCCGATTCCTGCTCGAGTTCCGGCTCGCTCTGGCGCGAGATGTGACGCTCAATGCTGGCCACCAGTCTAGGCGACTTCTGTGGTGCACTGGGCGCCAGCTTCTCGGCGGTGTCGATGAACTTGTGCACCTTCTGCGAGACGCTCAGCGTGCAATCGTCCTGGCGCAGCTCCTCGTCGATGTCCTCAAAGCTGGGACGCTCGATTTCGCGCGTGGGCGTGGTCAACGGTTGCTTGGTTATGTTCTCGGCGGTCTTCAAAAAACGATCCACCTTCTGGTCTATGCTCAGCAGGCACTCATCACTGGCCGAGACCTTGGCATGCTCATCGAACTGCCGGCTAAAGGGCGTCGAGGTCTTCGGCTGCTTCACCTGCTCGGCGGTGTGCGTAAACTTGGAGACCTTCTCGTGCACACTCAACAGGCACTCATCGATATCGATGCCGGGCTGACCATTGCTGGGGGCGGTATAATCGAGGCTCTTGGGCGCCTCCACTGTGGGATTGTCATGGATGTCCGCCTCGATGCCGTTGGGATTGCGCAGCTCTGAGATCTGGCAGCCGACATAGGCGTTGGCCTCCTCCTCAAAGATGGGTATGTTGGTGACGATCGGTTTCTTGCGCGGCTCATCGTCCGGCTCCTGCACGACATCCGGATAACGCGGCTTGCCCGTCTCCAGCTCGGCGGGCACCGGGGTGGGCACAATGCGATCCGGCGAGGGTTCCCGTGAGCTCTTCGCGTGCTGTATATCAATGATGACATTCTCCATGTCCTCGCTGTTGATCAGCTGCTCGCTCAGATTGATGGTCCTTGTGGTGAAGCATTTGCTGGGCCGATTGCGTTCGGTGGGACGCTGCGCCGAGCTCGGGTTCAGGGTGCTCATCTCGGGTGTCAATTTCGGCTTTCCGTTGACCACCTTGATGACATTTTCGCTGGTGGAGCGCGTCACCTTGTCCTTGTCGCGGCGTGTGACACGCGGCACTGGGGCCGACTCCTTGCGCTCTGTGACCGGCAGCTTGCGTGCGGGACTGGCCAGGACCTTGGTCGGTACCTTGCGCTCGGTCTTGGGCGAAGGCGTCTTGGGCGCCGTGTGATCTATGATGATCTCCGTGTGCACGGATATGTTGCTCGAGCGACGACGCTCGCTGGGAATACGCGTGGGGCTCGTATCCGGCGAGGAGGACTCTCCGTCCACATTGTCCGTTTCGGGTTTCTGTTTGCGCGGCGACGAACGCAGCCGATCCTTGATGTTGGGTGAGCCATTGCTAGCGCTGGGCTTTTTATCCTTCTGTGTGGTGTTGCGTGCAGTTGTGCTTGTTGTTGTTGTTGTGCTGCGAGTTTCCTCCACCAGGCTATCGCGCTTGGCGGGCTCACGCCTTGGCAGCGACTCCTTGCGTGGACTCTTGACCGTCTTGGGCTGCGTTTCCCTTAGGGGCTGCTTGTTGGTGGTGCTGCTGGTGGTGGTGGTGCTGCTGCTCTTTGTAGTGCGCGAGTTTCGTCGCTCGGTTTCGGTTTTTGTGATTGATGGCTTCCTGGAATCGGGCTGCTTGGGCTGTGACTCCTCCGGTTCACTGTCGTTTGGTTGTTTCTTCGCCTTGGGCCCTGCTGTGGGTCCGCTGGGTCGTTGGGTCTTGCTGATTTTTTCCACCACTGTTTTGCCATTGCAATCGATGATCTTTTCGGTCACAAAATGCTTTGTCTCCGTTTGAGGCAGAGGTTCCCTGCGTGTAGGTGATGGCGACTTGGAAGGACGCTTTGTTATGACCACAGACGTCGTTTCGCTAATGTACTCTGCGTCGTCCTTGGGTTGCCTGCTAGGTGCCTCGGGCTTGGGTTGTTTACCCGGTGTAGGACGCGGCTCTTTATCATCCTTTGGACGCCTAGCTGTTGCAGTTCGTGGCGTTTCCTCAACCTTAGTCGGTTTACCAGCTGTGGAGCTTGGTTTTCTCTCATCCCTAGGCTGCTTACCAGGCGAGGGATGCAATTCATCCGCTGGGTAGGGCGAATTGTCCCTGCGAGTTGGCGACGGCGACTTGGGAGGGCGCTTTGTGACGACTATGGTTGTGTCTTCGCTCACTTTTATGAACTCGACGTCTTCAGAATAATATTTAGGTGCCGGCCGTGGCTCTGTCTCATCCTTTGGCTGTCTTCCTGTTGACGGACGTGTTGGTTCCTTACCCATTGGACGTTTACCGAAAAGTCGTTCCTCGTCATCCTCCGGATAAGGCAAGGGCTCTTTGCGTCTGGGTGAAGGTGACTTGGTAACAGGCGTCTTTGATGTTCGCTTCGTTGTTGTCGTTTCTTCTTCCACGTTTATGAACTCTGCTTCATCCTTGGGAATCCTGCCGGTTGTTGGACTTGGTTCTTCTTCATCCTCTGAAGGCAAAGGCTCTTGGCCAGCTGGTGATGGAGACTTCGAAGATCGCTTGGAAGTAACTGTCGTAGTCTTTTCATCTACATTCAAAAGCTCTACTTCCTCCTTGGGAAGTCTGCCAGATGCCGGACGTTGGGGTCTCTCGTCCTTAGGCTGTCTGCCACCCTTGGGAAGCGGCTCTTCCTCATCAAATGGCCGTCTACCAGTTTTCGGACGAGGTTCTACCTTCTCCTTGGGCTGTCTACCAGCTGTGGGTCTAGGTTCGTCCTCGTCCTCTGAGTAAGGCAAAGGCTCTTTGCGAGTTGTTATGGTCGTCGCTTCCTCAACATTTATAAGCTCTGTTTCCTTCTTGGAAAGAGTGCTAGTTGATGGACGTTGTGGCTTCTCATCATTAGGCTGTCTGCCACTCTTAGGACGTGGCTCTACCTTATCATGAGGCCATCTTCCAGTTGTGGGACGTGACTCTACCTCATCCTCCGGGTAGGGCAAAGGGCCTTTACGGGTAGACGAAGGCGATTTAGATGAGCGCTTCGTAGTAATTGTTGTCGTCTCTTCTTCTACATCAACGAACTCAGCGTCATCTTTTGGCTGTCTATTAAGTGATGGACGCTGTGGATTCACAGCCTCAGGGTGTCTACCTGCTGCGGGTTGTGGCTTTGGCCCATCCTTGGGCTTTCGGCCACCAGCTGGACGTGGTACTTCTTCACCCACTGGCTTGGGCATCTTTTTTCCCGTTGTTTTCTCGGTGTTGACGAGCGTTTCAATTTCCTCTGACTCCGTAATATCCACCGTCAACTCGCTGCGTTGGGGCAACTGGCTCTCCGGTTCAAACAGAGGTTCCTCGACTTTGATAACAGGCTGTGTGCGTATAACATATGTTTCGGTCACTTGCCTGGGCTTGTCATCCTCATCATCATCGTCAGGACAGTCCTCTATCTTAAACTCAAAGGTCTCCGTCTGCTTGACCACAGTTGATTGTTTCTGCTCATCTGTGTCATCGTCGTCAACATCATCTTCAGGTTTTGGCACGTAGTTTCCCTGCGTATCGCCATCCTCCTCCATGCCCAAGATCTTGCGGCAACGATCTTCAAAGGTCTCCCGACGGGTCAGGCCCTTTTTGCGGTAGGTGGGCTTTTGATCTTCTTCCGGCTCTGGACTCTTCGATATGAAACCACCATCCGGTGTCTCGGGTGTTTCGCATGTCTCGGGAGTTTTGCCGGTAGCGGGCTTATAGCTAGATCTATCGATCATATCTTCATCTTTGGGCCTTGAACTTCTGGGCAATTGGGTATCGGGATTTTCGGGCTGGTTATCCTGCGGCTTGCGAGCTTGAGGCTGACGCTCGTTCGTTATGAATTCTTCGTTAAGGTTCTTCGTTGTATTGGTAAATCGTTGGGTCACAGTGCTTCTAAAGAACGCATCCTCTGGGAACTGCTTGTCGGCAGTTGGTTTAGGTGCATCTCGGGGCTTAGTTGGAGCTGAAGCCGGCAACTGGGTTGCAGGACTGGGCTCCTTGGCTTGACGGGGCAACTCCTTAGGCTTTGCCGAGCTTGGCAATTGCTTCTCAGGACTTGGCTCCTTGGGAAGTTGCTTTTCGGGACTTCCGGGACGTGGTGCGCTCCTGTGAGTTGTTGATGGTAGCGATTTTTCGGGACTCGACCGTGGAAATTCCTTGGACACCGTGCCTGGCAGCTGCTTCTCAGGACTTTGACGTGGCGAATCTCTGGGCCCTGTTGAGGGTAACTGATGTTCGGGACTCAAACGTGGCGTCTCCTTAGGTCTAGTTGGCAATTGCTTTTCGGGGCTACTTGGACGTGACGATTCTCTGGGCTGATTATCGGGACTACGACGCGGCGATTCCTTGGGCTTTGAGGGAAATGCAGCTGGCAGCTGTTCCGGCGTCTGACGTGGCGATTCTCTGGGCAGCTGCTTCTCGGGGCTGCCAGAACGTGGCAATTCCTTGGGAAGAGTTGCTGGCAGCTTCTCGGGGCTACCGGAACGTGGCGATAGTCTGGCTTTCGAGGGTAACTGCTTCTCGGGACTCTGGCGAGGCCTCGAGGGCAATGTCGCTGGTATCTTCTCGGGACTCTGACGTGGCAAGTCCCTGGGCCTATTATCATTACCTTTCGTTTGGCGTTGCCTAAACTCCAAGCTGCTCTCATCGATGACAATCTGATCATCGATCTGAGCGAGACGAACCGGCGAAGACTCACGCTCCAACGGAGTCTCAAACGTGGTCTCACGCTGCAGCTGACGTCGCTCAACGCTGGGCGACTTGGAGCTGCGCCGTGCCGGAGTCGGCTCATCATCTCGAGTGCTGTGCTGGGGCTTGCTGTGTGTGCGATTAGGTGCATCGCTGCTGGGTCTGGGTGCATAAGGTCGGCTCTTGTTGGGCGTGTCTGCGGGTTGGGTGGAGTCAAGACATAAGCTAACGGGCCGCGCTCAACGAACAATTTGTGGCGTGTGCGTGTGTCTTGTGCTCAAACGCTACGTTAATAGAGTATTAGTGACGACTACAACAGGCTACCAGGAGAAGAAAAATACCTCCAAGAGTGTTCCTTCGTTTTTTTTTTTATTTGCGATTATTTGTCTACTGTGGGTTAATTGCTCTACAGGGTTAGGCGAGGCGGTGTTGAATCAGGCTGCAGGCGTGTTAGGTCAGGCAGAGGCAAAGATGCAGGCGGTAGTTCTTACATAGATATAGGCTGTTAATAGGCGCGTTCCCACAAATATTATTAGTTGCAATACTTGGAATACTTGGTCCCGCCCAAAAAACTTTGTCTACCAAGTGTGCGTGCGTGTGTGTGTGTGTGCGCGTGTGTGTGTGCGTGTATTGCCATAGAACATATCACATTCGCAGGTTTTTTTTCGGTTTTTTTTGTTGGTATTTTGTAAAACAGTTTTTATTAGCAAAGTTCCAAAAAAATATGTTTAAAATATTACGTGTAGTAAAGATAGTTTCAAAAAATAATTTTTCTCTATATTAAAAAAAAAAAAAACGGTGTTTGGTTGCAAGTAGAAGAAGTAGAAGTAATAGTTGCTTGCTCGATTTGTGGTTTGTGTTTTATTTGATTTAGATTTTAAGTTGTTGTTGCTGTTGTTGCTTTTTGGGCCTTACCAACGGTTTCAGTACTTGTCACCGCCTTGGCAATGCTGGCCGCTTCGGTTTTAGCCGCGGATTGACCCGCATCCGCATCCGCATCCGCATCGGCGGCCGGACCCAGCTTGTAATAGTGTCGACGCACACAGGTTGGCTCAAGCACGCCGCCAGATGGATTGGATGTGGTTGCCTCATTTGAGCTCAGCTTGGTTTTAGTTAACAATTCGTTGGGCTTGTCTTCGATGGAAGGGTTCTGGTTCTGGTTCTGGTTCTGGTTGTTGATTGTTAGTGTTGCGTTGTTGTTGTTCTTGTTGTTGTTGTTGTTGTTGTTGTTGTTAATGGTAGGTGTTGTAGGAGTAGGTGGCAAAGAGAATATATCGGCTGGCTTAGTAGTAGCATACGTATACTGTGATTGGTTATCTGAAGGATACATTCATATACATAGGAATTTCCGAGATAGATAGATATATATATAGATATATATATTTGTGTGTGTATGTTATATGTTTGTGTTTTTCTGTGTGTGAGTTGGTCTAATTCGTACCTGACACAATTGGCGTCTCGCTAGCTGGCAGATTGCGCGGAGCTGTAGGAATAACGGCTGGAACTGTTGGAACTGTTGGAGCTGTTGGAGCTGCGGCTGTGGGCTTTGTCGGGGTTATCGGGGTTGTTGGGGTTGTGGGTGTGACGGCTGGGGATGCTGATCCGGCGGTTGTTGGCTTATTGCCAATTGTGGTTGTGGTCGTTGTTGTTGTGGATTTCGTTGCTGCTGGCGATTTGGGCGAACGCTGCGGCATAAGATCGATTGTTTCGTTAGAACCTTGAACGTTACGGGTCTTCACAACAGCTTGTTGCTGCTGCTGCTGCTTGGTAACGAGTGTTTTACCCACGCTCTTGGTAGTGGGCACGCCCACATGGCGTGTCACCGTCGTCGAGCTGATGCGACTGGACTCGGACGGCGCATGGCTGTCGTGTGAGCCCTCGCGTCCGTCGCGCCTAAATGTGCGGCTCGACGAGATGCTCGACCGTGGCGTTTGACGCTGTTGCTCCGTTTGGCCGCTATCGCGACGCCCATGTGTCGGATGCGAATAATGCGGATGATGCTGATGATGCGACCCGGTCGAGCCGACGCTCTCCGCCGGCGAGCTGCTGCGCAGCGAGGCGGCAAACGCACGATGCGCTGCATCCACCTCGCGCTCCTTCTGCAGCTGGCGACGTGTCACCGTGGTTGTTGTTGTGGTTGTTGTTGTCGACTCCGGCGCGTTCCGTGTGGGCGTGCGTATGCCGGCGCTCGGTCTGCGCGGCGGCGACTTGCTGGCCGGCGCGCGTGTGGGCGACCGAGCCGCGGGATAACCACCCTGGTTACCTGTGTAATCGTCGCGCGGCTGCGTGCGACGCGGACTGGCCGGCGGCTGGGCGTTCAGCGGCTGTGGACGACGACGCTGCTGCTGCAGCGGCTCCGGCTCCAGATCGTCCTGCTCCAACTGGGTCTCGATGATGCGCTCCGATTTGCGGCTAACGGCGCTCGTGCTGGTCTGATGCACTACCTCGGCATCGGGCTGATCGGGCCGTGAGCTGCGCACCGAGGGAAAACCGTGCGTGCTGAAATCCTCGACGGGTGCCCGTCGCGGACTGGCCGGCTGTTCCCAGCTGGGCGTGCCTGTTGGTCCAGCCGCCACCGGCAAGGGCGCATGCCCTTCGTCGACGTACTCCGTCTCGACGGTGCGCTGCGAGCTGCTGCTCTGCTTGACATTGCGACTCTTCTCGGACTTGACCACTACGACCTCCTCGGTGGTGGGTCGCTGATTGGGAAACTCCTGGGTGGGCTTGTTGCCGCGCACCGAGGGAAAGCCGTGCGTGGAGAAATCGCTCGCCGGCTGACGGCTGGGCGTTGTCGGACGCTGATTGGGAAACTCCTGAATTGGCTTGCTGGGAAAGCCGTGCATGCTGTAATCCTGGCGTGCCGGAGACGGCGCCTTCAGCTGCTGTGCAGGCTGATTGGGCGCACGATCGTCGTACTCCTCGACGGTCTCCGATGTCGTTTCAGTGGAGAAGCGACGACTGGACTTCTTGACCGACGAATAGCTCTCCTGCTTGATGAGCTCCTCGGCCTCGGCGGGCCGGCGCAACGGTTCCGCATTGTCCACCACATCGCGCGGCTCGCCACGGCTGTGGGTCTGCTGATGCTGGTGGTGCACATCCTGTGTGCGACGCTGATTATTTACCTGTGACTGATTGTGGGTCTGGGTCTGGGTTTGGGTTTGGCGCGTCGTCTCCGCGCTGGGAGTCACTTGCTCGGTCTCGTAGCGCTTGTTCTTGACAATGGTGCCGTCGGGCAGACGCTTCACCGTGGTAATCATCTTGACATTGGGCTTGGGATACTCAACCGTATTGGAGATAATCTCGCCTGGCTGCGACATCAGATGCTGCACATGACGCTGATATTCCGGCGATGCCTTGTCCATGTCCACATAGTGTTTGTTCTCCTCGTAATGCTGCTGTGTCTCCACGTTGCGAGTGCTCTTCGATTGCTCCCGGCTCTCCGAGTAGCGTTCCTCGCGCTGTTGCTGCAGACGCTGCTCCTGCACGCGCTGCTCCTCGCGCTCGCGCACCTCACGCTGCTCCCGCACCTCACGCTGTTCCCGCTGCTCCCGCTGCTCTCGCTGCTGTTGCTGCTGCTGCTGACGATTTGTCGTCTGGCTGTCCAGCAGATAGCGTGGCTGAGCGGCATCATCATCCCCATACTCGACAGTGGAGGATGAGACAAACTTGGAGCTCGACGAGGAGGTGGTGGAGCTCATCTTCGTTTCGGTGCGTCCGCCGGCACTCTCATCGCCATAGACAACCTTCTCCTGGAGATGCGTATTGGAGCTCTCGGCCGCCTGCTTTACATAGTTCTTGTCGTCGCCCTGATGGGAAGCGCTCGAGCGCTGCTCATTGCGACCCTTGAACTCGGCAGTGCCGCCACCATTCAGCTTCTCAACACCTGTCACATGTATGGATCGTGTTGGTGTTTGTGGTGTTGGTGGAGTTGGAGGTAAGATTTGGTAGTGGGTAGTTGGGTAGTTTGGTGGTTGATCACGGCACAGAGACATACAAACAAACAGAGTAGGAGTTACACACAGATAGAAACACAAATAGGTTAGAGTGCTTTAGTCGAAAGTGCCCGACCAGCAGATACCCTCTACCCAGCAACTTTACCTCTGAGAGCCCAAAGGGAAAGTACCTATAACTTCCAATTTTAGAGTTATGCTGTTATACCAATACTTTTCGATGCCTATTGACAAGCTTGGACGGTCGACCGAGGAGATCGACGGACGGACATCCATTCGGATGGATGGAAGAACGGATAAATACCGATAAACTTTCCAATTTAAAGTGTTTAGCTCTTTAAGTCCCAGAGATTGAGGCATGACACGGAGAAACGGATGAACAAACAGACGGACAAATGGAAGGGCGGAGGGTCGACCGAGAAGATCGAAGGACGGACTTCCATTTGGATGGATGGAAGAACAGATGATTACCGATAAGATTTTACAATTTATAGTCTGTAGCTCTTAAAGTCACAGAGATTGAGGCACGAGATGGAAAAACGGTTGTAGAGACAGACAGACACATAGAAGGACGGAGGGTCGACCGAGCAGGTCGACGGAAGGACTTCCATTCGGATGGATGGACTCCTTAAACTCTATTTGTATTATTTTGATTGGGTAGAGGGTACGAAAAACGGGATTAGTTTTCAAGTACACAAAGTGGACTTACCATCTGTTTTGGCCAGCGTCTCGGTGCGATAGGCGCGTCCATCGGGACTCACCTCCGAGGAGGTCTGCACATCCCAGCCGGTGCTATTCGGCTGGGTGAGGCTCATCGAATGGAACTTGAGCTCGTGCGTGGGACTCATCGAATCACGCACCTCCTTGGACTTGAGGCTCTGGAAATTCTGGTCCAGCAGCGCATCACCATGGCTGGTGGCCAGCGGATCCTTGCCAAAGCCGGACAGAGTATTGCCATTCGGTTCAGACATTGCGAATGCTATGCTATCCGGTTCGTGCCTATAGAGATTCCTCAGACGCGATTCGCGTAGCTTATAGAGATGCGTACGGATTTGCCGTTTACGTTCGCTGTCCTCCGATTGCTGCCACTGCAATTAGACAATTGTCATAACAGTTAGTGAAAAATCTCGAAAGACTTTGCTGCGTCCTTGGACTAATTGAACCGGCTTCGAGTGCGCCACATAACCCACACACGCGATCCACTTCAAACCAAAACGCGCCTTTTATGGACGCGTTTGACGCCTCCTCGCACTGGCCGCCAATTAGCTGACAGTCAGCCAGACTCATAAACTCGACTTGAGGCTGAGCGGGAGACCGGGTTCGGTGAGTCAGCCAATGTTTGTTCCACATCCAACGCCTTATAAATGATATATGTACGTGCTGAATGCAATACAACCGGCCTAAGCTAACCTCTAATGAGCTGGAAGACTCTCGTTTATTCCGTGCAACAGCATTTCATCAGCCCACATCACAGATTTAACTATTCTTTAAGTCCGAGCATTGTGCACACCAACAGCATCATTCATTTTAATTATTTGCTTAAGATATTTGAACTGTTTTTTGTAATACTTATTCCGGGAATTTCGTATACAAAATTTACGTTTAATATCTTTGCAAATTTGTGAAATTTATTATTATTATTTTAACTAAGCAATATCTTCATAAAAAGAGAGAGGTTGCCGGTTCAAATCCAGCAGCAATTTTCTATTTATTTAGCTTTTTTTATCAATTTTCTATTATTCGTAAGAATTTTTCAGTTCTTCAAACAGAATTCAGGTATTTTACTTCTTTTAATTTAAGCCAAAATTAATTTGAACCGCGCAATGCCGGTCAATTTCCACTGAACAGCAATAAACAAATATTGAGCAAAACTCTAACTGAATGTACATTTAACTTCAAACCGGTTGCCCATATTTCCGGAACAAAGCTCAACTATAAGCTCAGTTATGATCGAATATGGAACTCATGGGAGTTTCCAGAAATTATTCGATAAAACTTATCGACGATTATCGATGACTTATCTGCTGGAAATGTGCTTCATTTGGAAGCTATCAGAAAATGACGCTTCGGTTATAAATAAACAAGTAAGAGGTTCTAGTCGGGAGCTCCCGACTAGGGGATACCCTGAACCCTCTTCTTCCAACATCAAATGCATATATATATATTCTATTTTAGAAGCTATATGTCAAGTTTTGTGACTCTAGCTCTTATTATTTACCAAAATTGCCCAAAACACAGGATATCTATATCGATTTTTATCGATAGCTTGGAAACGGAGCAAGTTATCGATTATCGGAAGGTTCTGAGATCCTTACGTTCATACATACGGACAGACGGACATGGCTAGATCGACTCGGCTATTGGGCTGATCAAGAATATATATACTTTATGGGGTCGGAGATGCTTCCTTCTGCCTGTTACATACATTTGGATTTTGCACAAATACAATATACCCTTATACCCATTTTGAATGGGTTCAGGGTATAAAAACAAAAAAAAACAAAGAGTGTAAATACAAATTGTGCTGACCGATAAGTGGGCACAAAGAGGCCAGGCCCATTGATATACATACGATGTGACAACATGTCAACAGATTCTTCGACTCATAATTATAAGTGAATTATAATCGACTGGTTTGCTCGGGTTTGAGTTAGCAATGGTGATATCACCGGCAACTGCCAAAAGCTCGAAACAACAAAACAAAATTGAAAGCGGAAAACATGCCAAATAACACATGCATTAACAACAAACGAAAAGCAACAACAATAATAAAAACAAAACAAAAATGCTTTGTTAACCGTTTTAAATTTAGCTGCTTATAGGTAAGACTGTCGACTGTCGACCCAAGAACCTCAGTCAACAAAGTATGGAATATATATATGTATATGTATCTTATAAAACATCATAAATCATATTTACAATTGAATTCATTAATAATTCCACAATTCTAGGTGAAGTCTGGAGGTTTTCATTTAACAAAATGCATTCTGTCATCACGTATTCCAGTGGAACTTCCAGTGGACAAAATTGTTCATAATTTTTTTTAAATATTTTTTATGCTCATATATTTCTGTTATTTATCTTTCTAATATCATATACTTATGGCCTAATGATTGCTCCCTCGCTAAATGCAAAATTTTCAACAATTTTTTAGCTCAATTTCCAGTGAAAGCAAGTGCATATATTGCCAGTTTCAGTTCTCTACATTTATGTATATTTACTATCTACATAGTTATATTAGATATTTATATAGTATATTTATTTGCTTTTTAACATATAATTGTAAAATTCTTTTAACATATGCACTTTTGAATAGTTTTCAATTCCAGCGAAAACAGCTGGAAATTTCCAGTGGATTGTAAGCAATTTCAGCCAGCTGGCAACGCCACGTCATTTAGCTGATAAGAACTCAACGAAGGTTTTTTTTTGACAACTTCGTTAAGATTTACAAACAATATGCAGTGCTGCCCAATTTACTAGACAGTTTGGCCACACTGGTGTCTTGTCAAAAAATTAAACTGACTGTTAAATTTTGACAAGCAAATCAGCATGTTAAAGTAACTGGCAAACTAGCTGCAAAAGCTAAGAATCAATAGCCCGTGGTAGCTAATTTATGAGCTGAATTAAATATTCTGTTTTGTTGCAGTTCAAGATTATTTTATGGCAAAGATTCGATTCTATTTTTGGTTGGGTTTTTTCTAAACACAGTAGACGCTGCTTTAAAAGGAAGCAGCAGAGAAATCGAAGCCAAGCTTTCACTAAAAATCACATCAATTTTTTTATTAGACAAAACATGATGAGAGCCAGCTGTCGCGGCGTAGGGTATGGGCGGGGTATTATAAGCTCCAAAGGGGACTGGGCGGACCAGTGTGGCCGAAAAAAGTGCAACATTTGTCCAGGAACTAAAGTTAGCGTTGACGTGGACGTTAGCGTTGACGTGGACGTTAACGCCAGCGTCTAGACTCTGGAGCAGCGTCTTGAAACGCCGCCTCGTCAAGCGACGATGCCAAATGACGTAATTTCTAAAAAGCGCCTCGTGATAACCAGTTGAAGTCGCCGTCGTCGCACCTCCGCTGCCAGCGGCAACCTGTTGACGCCGACAGCGACGCCGACGCCGACGCCGACTGCAGGCGCCTTCACTCTGCCCCCCAGCTTCTCTCCTCCTGCTGCTGCTGCTGATGACGTGACGTGCGAGATTTTGTTGATGCGAGTTGCCGCAAATGCTGATAAATTATTATTTTTTTTTTTTGTTTTTATTTTTATTTTTATTATGGTTTTTTTTTTCGCCGTTCATTTTGTGAGCTGTCGTGTCAGCTTTGGAGGTCAGACGTATTTTGTATATTTCGTCTATGCATATAATTGTTGTTGCTTTTTAACTTTGCCAAAAAAAAAAAACAAACAAAAATGAATATAAAAGCAAAAAAGAAATCTTTTTGCTATTGAAATTAAAATTTATTAAAATTTAATTGAATCAAAGCGTCGAACGAATGTCACAAAACACGAACATGCTTCAGGCAGCGCAAGGAAGTGAATGCTGTTCAGCTAGCGGAAGAGGCTGCAGCGCAGTGCGGGGGAGGGGAGACAGAGAGAGGGAGAGAGAGAGAGAGAGAGACAGAGAGAGAGAGAGAGAGAGAGACAGATTTGCTGGATAGTTGGTAAGCGTAAAGCTTTAGCTTACAAGCTCGTACGTTTAATTCCTCCTCTTTTGGCATTCGTAAACGTTTCACTGGCTGCTAACAGTTCTTGCTCTCGCTCTTACTAATGCTCTCTCTCTATCACAAGCTCTCTATTAAGCTCTTCTTTCATTGTGTTCACAAACCCATTTCCTCCTCGAACACCTAAACTCCTTCATTGAACCTTCAATTTTATCCGTAAACGTTTCACTGGCTGCTAACAGTTCTTGCTCTCGCTCTTACTAATGCTCTCTGTAGCGCTTACTATCACAAGGTTAAGCTCTTTTTTTATTGTCGCTAGCCCTTTCCCTCCTTGAACGTCTAAACATAACGCCTTCAACAGTTATTTAGCAATCATTCTATTCGCAAACGTTACACTGGCCGCATGCATAGTTTATGTATGCAGAATATTTACTTTCCACTGTGCTTCCACTCTTCTTATCTTCGTTAAGCGATAGCCCGTTGGATAGCAGTTAATTAAATGAAATTCATTTTTCTGTCGCGTTCGCAAACATTTCACTGGCTGCACTCGTACGTGCAGGCCGCAATCGCTTGTTCTTATCGGAACGCAGCAGCTGCGAATGTCGATCGATATGAAAGTGCAAACTTTCGTTCAGTCGGATCGGCTGCAGCGACACCTGTTGACAGCGACACGCACCAGTGCACCATCTGGCAGCGCACAAGTGCCATCTGGCACTTTGGCATCTGTCATTTGGCATTTGGCATTTGGCATTTGACATTGACAATCAGTTCAATTTGCTGAGGAAATGGCCTGCAGTCGGGGGCTTTAATTGCTCGGCTTCGGTCATTTTTTGGCGTCAGTCGTTATTTATAACTCATTCAAATTCATTTCAATTCAATTCCGTTGCATGCATAACAAAAAGTGGGCGACCCAATTGCGAGCCGAGAATCGCACAACGCGAATTCGCCCGTTGCCCGCGAATTCGCCGCAACTGAGAGCGAATTGTGTCATTCTCAAGCTGGCTGCGACGCCGGCAGAGTTGCTTTTTTTTTTAGCACCTGCGCAGCCGAAACCGAAATTGAAACTATTTAAAACTGCGCATGTTTTAAATATACCCTGTATGTCTAGCTATTTATTCAAGGGGTATCTTTTCGTTGAGCAGCAGCTCAAATTATTGAGCTTACCTGCAATTTACATATTCAATTTAGGACTTTTTTCAAGACAACTTTTAGTTTTGAATATTACAAAAGTTTGTAAATTTAAAAATAATATTTTTTATATATATTTTTGTACATTAAAATTAAAATTATATTAAAAAATTTGTCTATTTTTGGATTGGAAAGCTTTTGGAACTAAGATTTCCAAGACATATTTTGAATAAATTTTGAAGCGGAAACGTTTTAGTTTTTCCAGCGACTACTGTACGTTATATATGGCTATATATTTCTGATCT